TCTAACAGTGATAACCTCATGAAGCGCTGCATTGCTTCAGTTTATCATTTTAGCTGCTTCTGCTTACCAAAGTGAAACTTACTGTCCGCGTTTACTTTAATTTTCCATATAGTTTCCGGTCGGAGCTCGGCAGTATTTCCCCATGTGATGATGACACCTCCCTCTGTCATCACTGTTTATAAGACTTACAGTAATGCTATTACCAAGCAAGTCGAAACGAATGCCACAAAATTTGCGCATCGCCATGCCGGCATGGCGCATTAATAAGACACACCATTGCGGAAATAGTACACTGATTTGCCGGCACGGTGTGTCTTGTAGAAAGTGTGATGGACTCAGTCCTTTTGGCTAATGACAGAAAGGGTCACAAGGCTGAGCAGAGAACACCTTGACTAGTAGAAGCTAACCTTTAGCATCAGCAACTCCTCAACACTGCAAAACTCCTTCAGGCTTGTGTTATTTGTGGAGAAAAAAACATCAATGTTGCAGAGAAAACAGAGTCAGTAGTAGAGTAGTTATCAAACGTTTGATGACCCGATGTTAAGAAATAAGTTTCCAAATACGTCTGTCCTCTGCTATACAGATGTAGACACCCCACAAACTGCCATTGGAGCTAGCATAGCAGCGGGCCGCCATCTTGGATGGCTTCCCATACCCCCACCCCCCCCCCCCCCCCCCCGTGAGGAAGGTGTTTACCTGACTAAAACACGTTATTATGCTTTTCCATTAAATCAGACATATGGTATAGCATCCCTGCTGAAAAAAAGCATATGTTGTGTTTTGGATGCTTGCATCAAGGTCTAGCATGACATGCTAGTCCAGCATGTGATGCTGTAAAATGGATTCTAGACCACCATGCTAGACCAGCATCCCATCCTGGACCAGAATCCAATTAACAGCATCACATGCTGGATTAGCATAGGCATCCTAGACCAGGATGCAAGCATCCAAAACACAACATATTTGTTTTGTTTTTTTTTTCCTGCAGGCATGATGGTTAAAAAATAAATATAATAAAATTCAACAAATAAAAATGCAAAATCCCAACAGGGTAGGGTAGAAAAACCATATAGTAATCTCCATGTGACCTGTTTTTCAATAACGCGTCGGCTGTTGGAACTGTAGGGATGCCACAAAAACAATAATAGCTGCCCACCCTGCGTTAACTCCAGTTGGGTGTGGAAAGTGAAGAACCCATCCAATATGGCGGTGATGTTGTTACACTCTCCAGTGCCCCAATAGGGTGTCTACATATTCATGTCTGTGCGCTGTTCCCCTCTCTGGCTAACTTTTTCATCCTGAAAGAGGAGCACCAGAGCTTTTTTCCCCACAGAGATGGACTCACAAGGCATTAGTTTTTCCTAGAGACCGCTGCAAATGAACTGGGGGGGGGGGGGGAACAGTGCTAGGTCTTTAAAGTGGCTGTCATCAAATGGATCAGAGGAATAATGACCAGACAGGAAATGAAAGATTACACTCACAAATCAAGAGACATTTTTCTCCTTCCTCCCAGGTGGAACCCCCCCCCCCCCCCCCCCCCCCTTTTTTTTTTCCTCATGCAGTTCTTCCAGTTGTAATTTCTCTGTTATAATAAGGTCTGGTTTCAACAAGGAAATATAATGCTATAACTGAGTATGAAAGAGCCATAAAGATTTTACTGAAAGCTGATTAGTATCCTACAACCAACATATGACACTATTACTGTTTAGATCAGAGGCAAGAAAATAAAAACACAATCAAAATGAGCATTTTATTACAAGCTCTAACTAATGAAAATTAAAAAACAAACTTTATTGCATAAATATTTGTTGGTTTAAATACGGTCAGTGCTGAATTTGTCGTTATTTGTCTTATTCTTGTTTACATTTCTTCTTGGAATAGTGTTGAATAAAGTTTTGATTACTGCAATCCTTTTAAACAACAAAACACGAAGAATATAATTTACATATAGTTTTTAATACAAAAAAGTAATGAACTTATAGTATCCTTGTTTTAATACAGTCAAGATATGAATATATACACAAAAACAGAACGTGTCTCGTATTTTTAGACATATACAAACAAACAAGGTTGCACTTGAGTGCAAGATGAAAAAAAAAAAAATAGAAACTCGTAGCAGAATATGAAACAATATACATAACAAATTAAACTGATTTACTTACATACTTGCATATTATTGTGACAGGACAGATGTAGCTTTAAAACAATGTTGAAAGCATAAATACCTAAAATACTAGCCAAACCCGTGAAATGCCCCAAAAGGATGAACCACCAGAAATACGCACGTTATTAAATGCAGATTGTGTGTTGTTAAAAACCTTAAAACAGAAGTGTGTTGTGAGTTCTGACATCAGCTTCAAGTAGACTTGCAAGTCAGCCTTATGAATATTAACAACTTTCGAGTCGCTGAGCACTTGATCTCCTTGACAGAGTGGGAAAACGGTTTAAAACGTTTGAACTGGAACAACTACAAGCCCATCCCTCTCTGCTGCGCTTTGGCTCTTCTTCCACAGCACCGTGAATCGTGTCACGGGTAGAGCCAGTTTTTTACATTACTGCATGACTCTTTTGGTTCTAATGAGTGTAGAATAATTAAGGCGTGGAGGATTTTTTGAGAAACTACATTAGCAGCAGTAGCAGGAGCCAGAGGAATGTGATTTATTCACCAAATGTGTCAACAAGAAGTGTTACTAATAAGCCATAGTTTGAGTTTAAACAGTCACCTCGGCTTTCCACCGGACGTGAAAGCGGTGTGTGAAACATAATAGAGGCGTGTCAGCAGCAAGCTCCCTTCCAACGTGGAGTGATTCCAACGTGAAACAGGAGCGAAAGCAGTCCACACAGCTGGTCCCCTGAGGTCACAAAATCACGGGAGAATTGCACAACACCACGTGTGATTTTGGAAGTTACAAGCAAGGAGAAAGACAGCTGCATGTGTCCAAAAAGTCTGTGGCTTATTTTCTGTTCTGTTTACCTCAGCTACTTGGGTTTGTAACAGGTAAATGATGTACATTTTATCTGCACGTGACTTTAATTTGAAAGTTTCCAGATGTTTTTACGCTGCTTTTGTGTTTGACTTCCTGTCTGGCTAGATCTAAACTGCAGAGATTGACATGTTTTGAAGCGTAGCGCTTAAAAAATAGACTCAAAACGTAGTGATAGCATCCCTTTGCTTCTGAGATGTGTCAAAAACGTTACGCTTTGCTGTATGATAGAAAGAAAATGGTCCACTGTGTTTTCACGGCTCTGTTCCGCAACGCTTTCACATCCGGTAAAGAGAAGGGGTTAATTAGGAATGATTTGAGATGGGAGGAGTTATATGTAGCTTATCTGCAACAGATTTCAATCTTGGTCTGAAGAATCACCAGGGCTTTCAACCAAATGCGTACGTGCAAGTGACATAAAATAAGCATTTCCACTGCGATCTCGACAACAAATCCCCATCAACCGGGAGCATTTCTTAAGTAAATCAGCAGCAAACGAGTTCCAACAGCAGCTGGTCCCACCGAGGTCACATAAGTCAGGGGAAAATTGCAAGATCACGCATGATGTTGGCAGTTCACGGGGTATGAAGCAAGGAAAAAGATGTCAGCATGTATCCGAAACATGTATTTTTTATGTTTCCTAGTCAAGCAACTGGGAAATCTGCACGCATCTTTTATTTAGAAAGTTCCTGGATATTTTATACTGGCTCCCGTGTTGGACATCCTGTCTGACCTGATCTGAACTGCTGAGCTTGACGTGCTCTGGAAGCGCTCATTTAAAAAACGGTAAATTTAGCAGATTGACGCAATACTCATCTGGGATTTGCCGTAGGAAACCAACCGTCTATAATGGCGGCTAATAGCTGCGAATTATGCTTTGCGTACGTTAAGCGAGGCTCGTGTAACCAGTGGAAAGCGGGGTCAGGGAGAAATTGTCTTGGAGGAGTCAGCGACTAAAACATTCTCCCTTTCCTGATAAAAACATTTTACTTTCTTTGACATTGGATGTGCTACTACTAGTTTACCCGTTTAATTATAGATTCACTAGCATCAATACAATAAAGTCTATCTCTCACCAAATAGAATATTTAGTAGGAAATCACAATGTAACCATAGAAATACTACTGGTGTGTGTGTGTGTTGTGTGTGTGTGTGTGTGTGTGTGTGTGTGTGTGTGTGTGTGTGTGTGTGTGTGTGTGTGTGTGTGTGTGTGTGTGTGTGTGTGTGTGTGTGTGTGTGGTTGTGTGTGTGTGTGTGTGTGTGTGTGTGTGTGTGTGTGTGTGTGTGACTGATCCCCAGTGAGTCGTGGAGGATGGCTGCTTGTACTGAGCCAGGATCGTCTGGAGGTTTCTTCCTGTTAAAAGGGAGTTTTCCTCTCCACTGTTGCTAATGCTTGCTTAGTAATGAGGATTGCATCAAGTCACTGACACAAGTCAGTGACTTGATGCAATCTGCTGGGTTCCTTATATAGGAAACTGTTTTCTGATTGGCTTAATGAACTGACCTGCATTGGAATGTTTACTTTGTGAAGTGCCTTGAGACGACTCTTGTCGCGATTTGGCGCTATATAAATAAACTTGAATGAATTGAATTAATGGTAGATAGCTGTTGAGTTACTTTAATTTGGCTACAATCCGCTCTGACCAAGCTCTGAGTCACTATTCGCTACCTTCATCCTGATTCTCTGACTGGAAACTGTTCTGATGCTAGCTACCCCGCAGGTCCTCCAACCTATTCCTGTAGGTAGAAAGTCTTGAGGGTTGCCATCTGCATGGAAGCAAAAGGAATACCGACGCATCCAGTGGATGTATCCCTCTGAGGTCAACAGCTTTGATCTTTTTGATCCCGTTTGATCTCGACATTCTTGTGTGGGCGGAGCACACAGCATGGAGGTGTGATGCCCGTAGCACCAAAGTGAGCAGACATGAGGAGTCGTGATGGTTGTACTACATTACCACACTGCAACAGTCAAACAGTAAAAACAAGGGTGGTCTGCCACAAGACCCATTTGTCACATAAATATATTTATATATATATATTTCATTATCAATAATAGTCGTAGATATTTGACACAATCACAACAAATAAATGTACAAGTTATTTACATGTTATCAAATCGCCTTCACATGTTTGGTCCTACCTTTAAATAAGCCCTTATATACAAAATAGTGTGGTGCTTGGCAGTTGTGCAAATCCGTACTTGATTAAATCAATGTCTCCACGGTGCTATAGGTCATCAGCTTGTGTTGGGAGGAAGCTGGTGTTTATTTGAACCAGTCAGGTAGTTTGTCTTGAGTGCTGGGAAGCACATGTTGTTGCTACACGAGCCCCCATAGCTGGGAGGGGCAGGCGGAGCAGGGCACACCAACCTTGTAAGGAGCCTCTCCGATCCAGTTACCCCTACAGGAAAATAAAAACGCAAGGTTAATGGTGGGTTTAAAGACTAACCCTAACCTACAAGCCCATGGCGGCTCTATACGCTGGGTGTTTAAACCTAGAGGTGAATTATAGGGTAACTGTGTGTGCCAGGCATTCTTAAGTGGTCTAGATTGGATTTTTGTCATGACGCATCTCTGATTTATCAGGTTCCTGCCAGCTGGCATCCTCCTCAGACCTTGTCTTTCTATCTCCACGGCGACCGCAGTGACCTCTCCAGAGTGGAAAGTGGGACTGGGTCCACACTCACCACACTGTCTCTTTTTTAAAAAGAAAATGAAAATCTGAGACCACAGCTAAATAGCTTATGAGCTTGTAACTCTTACATACTGTTTGGAATTAAATAACCGAGGTCACGAGTGGAGTCACAAGTCTTACTTTGTTCTGTAGGGAGTACTGGTGCACACGCTTGCATCGGGGGTTATCTGGGTCCTTCATCAGCATGGGTGGCATTTTATAACTCAGCACAGGACAGAATAAGCCGAATTGGGATTAAGTCTGTCGTCACCATAGCTTTAATCATGTTAACGCCGTTCATGGGCATTAAAACGCCTTGCTGGCAGTTTGAAATGAGCTCTAAATAAAGGTACGTTCACTCTCACTCACTTCGGTGAATAGTTGCAGACTAAATACGTTGCCCTTTTCCACACTGACCCCCATACGTTCATGTTGTGGCACGTGTGGACGGCGCAGCCGATCTTGTTAGAGGTTGCCCACACCATCTAGAAAGGAAGATCCATGATTGTTAGCTTCAATTCAACATTTATTTTAATAAAACATATATAATGCATGACGACTGCGGCTGTACCTGTGTGTAGTGGGTGCACATGGGTCCGTAGCACCTGAGAGGGCAGCGAGGGTTGCAGTCACGAGGGTAAGGAAAGGAATAATCTTTCACCTCATCGTACCAGGGCTTCACCAGCTGGAGAATGGACCGATAGCTGTGAATGATTCAAAAGCAAAAGTGTGACCATGGTGTATCAACAAACTAAAATAAATCATAACATTTCATTTTTTTATTTATCTTCCTGTAAAAATGTCCTATTGCTGTATATTACTAAAATAACTGTTTTTAACACTTTAAGGCTGTTGCATTAAACTGGTTTCAGTGATTAGTTCAGCCACAGACTTGATTAAATTCACATTTGAACAGCATTCAGTAGCCCTCTTCTGACTAGAAACTGCACTTAACAAATTTGTGGTTCAGGTAGGAACACTGATGAGAGCTCGCTACCCGTTTATGGCAATAGCTGTTTATTGTGCCTGCAGCTAATATAAAGATTAGCAGTTAGCATTTTTTTGTTTGCTGACCATCAGTAAAAAGCACAAGAAGAAGAAATTAGATTTTTTTTTTGTTGGCATCATGACAGAGCCTAGAAGTAAAGTAATGATTTTGGAGGTGAAGCAAAGAGCTAAACCAGTGTGAACATGACCCGAGCAGCCTACACTAGTTTGAGGAGTGCTATGCAATCAAGGACTGATGGTGGGCTTTGTTTCTACTGGGGCTTATAAGTAATAATATGTTTTTGTTCAACGGTACGGATCTTTTTACATCGTGGGTTATTTTAGAATCAGTTGGCTCGTGTTAGCACCAGCTTGTTGTTAGAGCTAGTTCTTGTTAGCGCAAGTGCACGTGCTAACTACAGCAGGCTGTGGCAAGGCTGTTGAAGACCTTTGTAATTCTTTCAAATGGTAGGAGGAAAAAGCATAAAACATGTTTAGTTTTGCTTCAAAGTAAAGAATTAAGGGAAATTGACTAAAATGTAAAATGTATTCAAATAATTTTTGTCCTAAACAGGAAAAAGTAGCAACTGTCACCTTTCTGCTTCAAATGATCTGAAATTTACTCACATTATGGATTAATATGAATAATTTTTTAATGTTCCAAACCATGCTTGACTTTTAAAACTTGCTAGCGCAATTAAAGTCTTTTGGAGCTTCATCTTGGTGCAAAGATATTACTGGCTGCCAATGAGTCCAAGAGTTTTCACGTTTGATGCCAAAGAACAGCTTGAACCATCCAATGGTGGTACTGGTTTGCACATAAAGAGATAAAAGGAAAGAACACATTGTTTAGCTGCAGTCTTTTCCAGATAATAGAAGTCTATCATGGAGTGCAGGGGGGAAGCAGAAAAAGGCCAAATTCCCCTGAGACTCATGTTGCACCTCAATAAAATCCTACGAACACATGGAGGCTCCCTCAGCTTCCAAATGGAAAGTCAAGGCCCCCCTGAAGGGCTCAGCTTTGTGTCCTCATGGGTCATGGCTGAATGTACAACTCTTGTTTATATAAATGGGTCACGGGAGCATTCCTCAAGCCGTCCCCGGGTCACGGCGCAGAATTTTTTAGGAGAAACAAAAACGAGGCTGCGAAGAAATGATGAGAGAGGCAGATGTGAGAAAGTCATCTGCAGATGTCTGCACTCACCGTCCCGTCCTGACAGAAAGGTTCTGACCCAGGAACCTGAGGAGGTGAGGCGGTCCGTGCTCCCACAAGCAAGAGTGAGCCCAGTCCTCCGCTGTCTTTGCTAATGTGTCATCCCACACCTGAACACACACAGCAACATGGAGAGGGCATTAGGGTGCAGTTACAGGTGCAAACATACACTTCTCATCTTTTATGTGATAAGCATTAACGTGCACACTCATTTCATACGTTGGAAATGAAAACAGTAGCAATGCATTTTATTTGGAAGACTTTAGACAATTTTATGAATATTCTAATAAAAAATGACTCAGTCTGAGTCAGTTCTCAGCTAAAATAATAAACCAACTGATGCTTGCACCCCTCCCTGCATGCTCCACTTCCAGAAAGCTTCTGGTTTTACGTTAAAGCTCTGTGAGTCCCTGCTGTGGTCCAATGTGGTGCAAAGGGCTGCCAAATAAAACCAAATAAAAATGCATGTGCCAATTTTCATCCTGCTGCAGAATTAGCCTGTTTGTGAGTAAAAACGCAGAATTGTTACCAGAAAAAGAGAGTTTGGAACACCTACCATGTATTCCATGTTGGATGCTGGAGGAAACACCCTGCCCCTGACTTTGTTGTGGTAATCGAGGATGGCGATCATGTCATTCTGACTAATAAAACGCTTCCTCCTGCTTTTGGAAGGAGCTGGCTCATCTTTTCCAAAGCGATGCGCTGTGCCCAGACTGGTGATGTTGGCACTCGGAGAGGACGTGGACTGCTGCAAGAACACTTGTTGCCAGTGCACTTGCCCCGCAAGATACGCACAGGAGGATGAAGTCTACAGCAAATAACTGGGGCTTCATTTTGTGTTGTAGATTGCCAGAATATTCCGAGATGCGCCTGAAAATAAAACAGAGTTGCCAAATCTATTTTTAAATATCTATTTCATTCATCTGATCCCGGCGTCTCAACCTTTCTGCTTCGCGCAGCCTGGAGCCTCCGTAACGCAGCGCGCAGAGAAAAGAAGGCTGCTCCAAACTTTGTGAGTGTTTCACAAAGAGTCCCGTTTTGGCGGGTTTATATCTCAGCGGACAGCACAGGAAGTGCGCGCGCCTCGGAGGTATAGACGCACAGCCCCTCCCTGTCACCTGAGACGCAACATCATCATCTGGGTGCGTAAAAGCCCAAATAACCCCCGACTCTCACCCATCTGAAAGGATGCACAGTGCACTGTTTGTATATTGAACAGCGCACATTTGAGTGTTTAAAAAATAAATGTAAAGCTTTTATTGGTCATATTAATGCGGATTTAAAACTCGAATTGGGCGCAGTCTGGAGATTCCAGCGCTCCGCTGGTCACTGATCAGGATTTGGATGAGAGCCAGCATTAAATCTAAGCTTTTGAGTTTTCTTTGTCTCATTCAGTGGAAGGGTTACACTTGTTCAAAGTGTGGCTGCAGCTGTGCGGGTTTCCAAAGCGGGGATGCAAAAGCCGAGAGAGAGAGAGAGAGAGAGAGAGAGAGAGAAGAGAGAGGAGAGAGAGAGAGAGAGAGAGAAGAGAGAGAGAGAGAGAGAGAGAGAGAGAGAGAGAGAGAGAGAGAAGAGAGAGAGAGAGGAGAGAAGAGAGAGAGGAGAGAGAGAGAGAGAGAGAGAGAGAGAGAGAGAGAGAGAGAGAGAGAGAGAGAGAGAGCGAGAGAGAGAGAGAGAGAGAGAGAGAGAGAGAGAGAGAGAGAGAGAGAGAGAGAGAGAGAGAGACTTCTGAGTTTTCATTGGCAGCTGGTGAACAAATTAGGCAACGTGACGCAGGAAGAGTTTCTCCTTTTTTCTTCCCTCTCCTCCTTTTCTTGTTGCAGACAAAGCTGGTGCCCCCCCCCCCCCCCCCCCCCCCCCCCCGAAAAAAACACCCTTTCTTTGGAAATGATGAATTTTTCAGGTGTTGGATCTGTGGTGAAGGAGGATATATCACTCAAGAGAGGTGCAAGGCACGCAGAGATTTTTCTCCTCCGTTTCACCTCCTTCTATACATCTCAGCTCCCACTTCCTTCGCTGAGAGTTTCACAGAGAAGTGGTCAGAGGACATAAATCTTCATGAACCGGTCCAATATTTCCTCTTCCTCAGCCAAAACAAATGCTTTAGGTGATTTTTACGCAGAAATGGTTATTTAATTTATTTATATGAATTATTAAGACATGTTTAGACTAGTCAGCATCACATTAATCCAAATAAAACAATCATTTAGAGCAATGTTTGGGTTCAACTTGGGGTCATTTGCTCAAAATGAGAATACGAGTTTGGGTTTCATCTTTATTCCAGAATAGAAATCAGAAATGAGCCGACCAATAATTTATGTGTCACACTCTCTATTGCGGGTGTACTTTGATGTTTGAGAAACAGAACTTAAGTCAAGAAAATCATTCCAGAGGATTAAAGAAATTATAAACAAAAGTTGTATTTTAGTTGTGCTGAGGTAAGGTTTTTTAGATTATGAACAATTAAGATCTCATCTGATGGGTAGCTCTTTGAATTACTTCAGTTTGGAGAAATAGAGTTTATTTTTGACCAGATTGGGGTGCTGATGTATTTAAAGACCTCATTTCTTTACAAATTTCAATCTAGCATACGTCAGGTGAGGAAATACACGAGCATTAAGAGGGTGTTTCCACCATTGACTCATTTGTTTAGTCAGTAGCTGTGGTGAAGTTCTGGGAAATTTCTGGGAGACGGGACAGGGAAAATTTGATGGCTCAGTCCATTCTGCTGTTTTGTCCTCAATACAAAATTGGCCCTTTTATGATTTTGCTAAGACGTCACTGATCAAAAAGTGTCCACGGACATTATCAACATGACAAGTTTTATTCTGTATGCCTTCTCTGGGTCAGGGATGAGGTCCTGCCTCAAGTGGAGGAGTTTAAGTATCTCGGGGTCTTGTTCACGAGTGAGGGAAAGATGGAGCGTGAGATCGATAGGCGGATTGGTGCTGCATCTGCAGTGATGCGGGCATTGTACCAGTCTGTCGTGGTGAAGAGAGAGCTGAGTCAGAAGGTGAAGCTCTCGATTTACCAGCCGATCTACGTTCCTACCCTCACCTATGGTCACGAGCTTTGGGTAGTGACAGAAAGAACGAGATCGCGGGTATAAGCGGCCGAAATGAGTTTTCTCCACTGGGTGACGGGGCTCTGCCTTAGAGATGGGGTGAGAAGCTTAGTCATCTGGGAGGAGCTCGGAGTAGACCCGCTGCTCCTCCACATCGAGAGGAGCCAGTTGAGGTGGCTCGGGCATCTAGTCAGGATGCCTCCTGGACGCCTCCCTGGTGAGGTTTTCTGGGCACGTCCAACCAGGAGAAGGCCTAAAGCAAGGGGGGTGGGGGGGGGGGGGGTATAACCCAGGTCCATCGAGGGCCGCTATCTAGCATATTTTAGTTTCAACCCTGCATCATCACACCTGATTTCAATCAGCAGGTGATTAACAAGCTTCTGTAGAGCCTGATGAGCTGCAGAACAGGTGAACCAACCACTGAATCAGAAGTGTTGGAGCAAAGACGTGCAGGATACCAGCCCTCGAGGACCAGGGTTCCCCACTCCTGGTCTAAAGGAAGACCCAGGACACGGTGGAGGGACTATGTCTCTCACCTGGCCAGGGAATACCTTGAGAATCCCCCAGAGGAGCTGGCCCAAGTGGCTGGGGAGAGGGAAGTCTGGGTCTCTCTGCTTAGGCTGCTGCCCCCAGGACCCAACCCCAGATAAGCAGAGGAAAATGGATGGATGGTTTAATTCTGTCAAAGTACTACCAAATTTAATCTGTTCGGGGCATATGTGTAAACAGCTGTTAAATGACCAGAAAAAACGTCTTTTATGTGGTGCTGTCAGTTGTGGTGTTGCGAGACGGATTTCTGCCACAGTTTTTTGACATTTAGCATCAACACTGTTTAATTTATTTTCCTTCCATTCTGCTTCATCAGCAACTCTTCCAATTTTACAAACACCTGATTGTTTGGCAACATCAGCCGATGTCATTTCCCACTGAGTTACAACCAATCAGCATGAGTTCACAAAAAGTCCTGCCCAGTGCCTCCACTGGCCTTCTTCCGAGAACACACACTAGTTAAAGTACTAGTTTGAATCCTGAAATGACTCGGAAAGCGGGTGTTTCAGGCTGGCCAGGTAAAAAGGAATTCCGTGTGAAAATCCGGTAAAATTATTCAGAAATTACGATGGTAGAAATTGGCCAAAAATATTTGTTACTCTAAACCGAGCTTGTTCAATGAATGTCTAAAAAAGCTAAGATAATAACCCACAAAAATCCACTTTTATGCTCATCTGGTATCAGTAATCAGACCAAAGCTTCAGATGAGCCTTTCAAAGATCAGGTTTGGCTTGATTTAAAGTGACAACGTGTAGTTTTTAATCATTAATCTCTGGAAATAACCAAAATGTTGTTGAAAATGAATTAAATGATGCACAGTTGCTCAAAAACATTAGCGGCTTCGTGACATATAACCATAAAACCGGGTCTAACATAAGGAGCATGTCTAAGTCTCTGGCATGAGAGAGTATGAGGAAGGTCAAATGCATGTGTCTCACGCTCAGTGCGTGAGAGTTGGCAGCCCTGAAGTAACACAGAAGTTTCCTTCTCCTCAGCCCTACTGGTTGAAAGTGGAATTACAACTATTGTAAACAACCCTGCTGCAGCCTGCTGTAGCTAGCGCTAGCAATGCGCTAACACTAAAGCGTGCCAACTAATACTAAACTAAACCACAAATTAAGGAGATCCATACTGTTGGACAAAAATATTATTAGGCTACTTTCAAATCCAGTAGCAACAAAGCCAAGTCACCATCAATCTGTGAGTTTGCAGCCTCATTTAGCTCCTTCAAACTAGTGTAGGCGCTCTTTTCATTTCACTTCCATGCTTTATGCCAACAGAAAAAGCAAACTTCTTTTTTCTCTTCTTATTGTGCTTTTTATCGACAATCGGAAAACTGAAAATGCTAACCACTAGCATAACAGCTAACAGCAGTAAAGCAGATAAAGAGCTCCCCCTATAGGGCACCTACCCACACCACAAAACTATCAAGTGCTGTATGTGGTTAGCAGAGGGCTGCAGAGTGGTGTCAAATATGAAACTGGTCAAATTCTAACTCAACAGTCACTGAGATCAATGTTAAAGCTCTAGCTTAAAGGTTAGGGAAAATGTTATTGTTACTTTAAACACCATACTATCAGTTTGTCTGGAGAGACAGCTGTTTTGCATCATTTCACACTACTTTCATGTTTCGTCAGCTGCTGCATTCTGATCTAAGACCAAACAATAGTGACCAAAAGTTCAATGTCACTGTGGAAAAGCTGGACTTGAACAGAATCCTGCATGTCAAGTCTGTCTCCTTCTCTCCTCCCACCACGTGCACAGACACACAATAACCTCACGTGCAGCCTCTTCAAGGCCCCAGATGAAATTCTCTCAGTCTCGGATGGCTGGTCCTTGTTTGCTCGGTGAACCCAGTGACTCCCAAAGAGGCTGAAGCCTTATTATCACATTATCTGAAGAGTAATTAGAGCATTATTTGGAGGGAGCGCGCTTCTCTGAGCGGGCTGGAGCATGGCTTCACAAGGCATTCTTTTTCAGACAGAGCATTTATTTACCTACAACATGTTGTTCCAAGTTTCCCTCATGCCCCCCCTCCAAGAGGCCTCCTGAAAGCTGGACTTGGTGCCAGTTCAGCAGAGGGAATGAGGAGCAGCAGCAAGCAGGGAGGGATAGCAAGAAAGAAGACGTAAAACTCGAGCATTCTAAGCAAGTGTTTGATCAGCTCTGTAGACAGAAAAAATCACATGGATGACAAATTTTAAACAGATATTTTATTACTTTTTTACAGCAGAGAGTATTATAAGGTTGAAA